TGTAATCAACTCTCAGACACTTGTTTTTTTTTTCATTTGGGTTTTTCTATCTTTCAGCCAATAATTTTTTGCCATTTTCATTATATTTCATTATCTCCACTCTCTCTCTCTCTTTATCTATCTTTCTCTTTCTTTCTTTCTCTTTCTCTCTCTCTCTTTCTCTTTCTTTCTCTCTTACCTTCTTTTTATGTTTGTTTGTTCGTCTGATTGTATCTTCTTATGTTTTTTCTTTCAAAATTGCTTAATCGGTTTTTTCCCTGTTTCCCCTCTCTCTCTTTTCACAAACTCCCTTCCTTCTTTCTTTCTTTCCTCTTCTCTCTCTCTCTCTTCTCTTTTTCTTTTTATTTACTCTCACTTCCTTTCATCTGCATTTTCCTTCTCCATATATTCATTATCTCTATTTTATGTTAATTCTCTATATTTCAATTTCTTTCTCTTTATTATCTATATTTTTTCACTGTATGCATAATTTTCTCTCTTTCTCTCTCTTTCTCTTTCTCTCACTCCTCACTCATCCAACCAACTTTTTCAAATAACTTTCAAGTGCAAACTAACGAAAATAAATTGAGGATTTCAAAAAAATTGAATGATGCGGAGTTTATTTTTTCAAACAATTTCTGGGAAGAATTTTTTTAAAGTGTAAAAAAATTATTTTTGTTAATTATATATAATTTTTATAATTATGATAATAACGATAATAATAATTATAATTTAAATAATAATAATTTAAATAGTTATAATAATTTAAATATTTTTTAAAACAGGAAGTAAACAGTTTCTATGGTTCGCGCTGTATTTCAAAAAATGTCAACTTGAGCTGAACTTACGTCACGATGACAATTATGACGTCACAAACAACAACAACAAGTCAACAACAACGTCAACAACAACGTCAACAACAACAACGTCAGCGATGTTAACGATAAAAATTTTGTCATAAATCTCAATGAAAATGATAGCAACAACAACTACAACAACCACAACAACAACAAAAATAACAATAATAATAATAACAGTAATAATAAAAAAACCAAGATGTCGTTTAGCTGGCAATGGGATGTGGAAAAGTTTTGCGATAAAGAATGGCGAACGTATGGAGTAACGCTGGAAAAATCAAAAGTTAATATTTCTTGTTGTTGTTGTTGATGTTGCTGTTGTTGATGTTGTTGTTGATGTTGTTGATGTTGTTAATGATGTTGTTGATGTTGCTATTGATGATGATGATAATGTTGTTGTTGTTGATGTTGATTCTGCTGTTGTTATTGATGTTGTTGTTATTAATGTTGATGTTGTTGTTGTTTTTATAAGTAATTCGTTATAAAATTTTTTAAACTTCCTATCCACTATAATCACTTTAACATCAAACGAACATTTTCAGTTGAAAATAGAAAACATTTGCTTCTTTTATTTATTCGTTCATCCTTTCCATTCATTCTTTTCTCTCTCTCTCTCTCTCTCTTTCTCTCTCACTCTTTTTCTCTCTCTCTCTCTTTCTCTATCAAGCTGCAACAACTTGCGCATAAATATTTAAATGACTTCACCATGACGAGAATATAATGTTGTTCATGAAAAGCGCTTCAAACATACTCACACATACACACTTACGTACACACACCACACACATACACAAGATAAACACACACACACACACACACACACACACATACAAACATCTGTAGAAGGGACAAACGTTAATTTTTCATAGCTCTTCTTCCACACATCAAAATTGTCCCCAAAAGAGCTTTTCAAAATTGAATTATAAAGAAGCAAGAAAAATTTCTTTTTTTACAATTGACCAAAATATTAGCCTCGCGGTAAAGTGTCCGGCTTCTGAACTTCATTGACCGAGTTCGAATCCCAAAGTTAGCCGGTCTTTGGGCAAGCGTTAAGCATTGTATAAACAACACATTCCGCAGCTGAATTAGTATTATTAGTAATTTTATTGTAACTAGCATCAGAAATAGCAAAGATGTATTAGTAGTAGCAGCAGTATCAGTAGCGTCAGAGATGTAGCAGTTGCAGTAGTAGTAGTAGCTGCAGTAGCAGCAGTAGTAGCAGCTGCGGTAGCAGTTGTAGTAGCTGCAGTAGCAGCAGTTGTAGTAGCTGCAGTAGCTGCAGTAGTACTATTACTACTACTACCACAATGATACCATCAAATCCCGGTCAGGTAACCTTATTCATTGATGGTAAGAGATGGGATGAGACGCCTGTTGATAAGCATCTATTTGGTGAAGACGACGACGACGAAGATGATGGTGGCAATAATAATAATAATAATAATAATAATAATAATAATAAAAAGATTAATATTAATAATAATAATAAAAAGATTAATAATGATAATAATAATAATGACAATAATACAGACAATGGTGGCAGTTACAATGAGGTAAATAACCGTATGAAAATCACTAACTATAACAATAACAACAACTTTAACAACAACAATAACAATAATAATAATAACAACAATAATAATAATAATGATAATAACAGTTTCGATGATAATAATAATGACGACGATGATGATGATGGGGGTGGTGGTGGTGGAAGTCATGGTAATGATGGTTACGTCTGGCAGAAGATTTACGTGGGGGGTTTCAGGAAAGGTTATTATTATTATTATTTATTATTATTATTATTTGTTATTATTATTATTATTATTATTATTATTATTATTCTTTCTCACTTTCTTAAACGCTTCTCGTCTTCCTTCTTAATGGATTGATAAGCAGGTGCTCCGA